GTGACTACTTCTACACACATAGAGTATTTCTACAAGCTGCATCTAGCGAACAAGGTTGTTAATCTGACTGACAAAGGTCCTCCTGCTTGGGTCGCCGGTCTTAGCTAGTCCCTCCGATAGCCTCATGTAACCGAATCAATTCCTCATCTACTTCTTTAATCATTGACAAGTATAAATATTTTAATTGATTTTAAGTTCTTCTCATGGATTTCACAGGTCAAGAAGGGTAGACCTAAAAAGGTAAGCAGAGTCACTAGCTGAGCAGAGGAGGAACAGAGTCGTCTTGTGATGTGTGATTGAATCGGCTATGAAAGCTTGCTTGTATAACTAGTAGTTCATACTAACCTCTCGCTTCTCCATTTTGCCTCCAGAAAATAAATATGTTGGGAATAAATCACATATTATTATTTTGTATACAATCAGTTTCAAAGTGGTTTCCAGAAACCAAGATAAGTCAACTGCAGGCGACGAGCTAGGATTGCCCGAGGCGTCTCTGCGGGGTTGAATCACAATCAATCAATACCTGCCGGTCGTGCATCCTTGTTCGGCATTCCTCATCCCTTCCCTCTCCTTATCTCAATACTCCACATCAATTATCAATTGGAGACAGCTTAAGCATACTATTCTATCAGAGCACATGCTCAAGATGACACGCTCGACGCACCGCATAAGTTCACGAGTCTCCTTGACGGACGCCAGAAACGAGAGCAGCGCCGAGCGCGATCCCAGCTCCACCAACAAGCATACTGACCACGAGGCGACTACGCCCTTATCTCCAGAGCACTCATCTCACAGTACAGCCGATATTGAACATGTCTTCGGAGCAGAAGACACGTTCGAACAGCCCACAACGACTCGCAGAGAGCTCTGGTCATACTATCTGTACTACAATGGTAAATCGTCTCCATCGCCATACGCAGCAACCCATCACTAACAGCTCGCATACCAGGCGATAACGGAGTTGGCCCTGGCTCTTACACTCAAACACTGTTTGTTTACCCCATACTGCCAGGCTGATCATGCTTCCAAGATCTTGAGCTAATATTATGTTTCCACCAGCTTTCAATGGGCGCTCAATGGTGCTGGGTGGCAGCCAGACACCAACCCTCGCAAGCCGTGCACAGATAACTCACCATGTGTCGTTCCATGGGCCGGGGGAGTTCGTTCTGTCTCCTCTGTTGTTCTGATTGCCAACGGGCTGAGCTTCACGTTCATGACTGTGACATTTGTCTGGCTCGGCAGCGCAGCGGACTACGGCTCCTTCGGTCGCTGGTTGCTTTTAGTCTTGACCGTGATTTGCTGGGCCATGCAGTACGCTATGATGTCCATTCGGCACTCTGATCAATGGCCTACAGCGATGGGCCTTTACGTGATCTCCTACGTCGCATATGGCGCAACACTAGTCTTCTATGCAGCCGTGTTTCCGAGGCTCGCGCGCCATATGCCGCATGTCCAAAGAGCCCGCCAGGACTTGAAGGAGGAAAAAATCAGCCAAAGGGAATACGACGCAATTGAGTCACTGGAGCGGAATCACATCAGGTATGGACGCTCTTTGTATTACTGAGTTGGCAGCTAACAGATACTAGCAACGTTTCGACTGCACACAGCAACATCGGATACTTGGCAGTATTGGTATTGAATCTGAGCGTACTTTTGCCTCTTCAAAATCATTCTTTCTCGAACAACCTTGCGCTTTGCTTGACAAACTCATGTTGGTCTCCTACCCATCGCGTTTGAAGGCGGATGCTGACCAAGCCAGACTGGGTGATTCTGGGAATTTGGTGGTTTATCTTCCAGCAGAAACGCCCCGGCCCTAGGATCCCTGAAGGATCAAGCTACGCTACTATTGGTTTCAAGCAAATCTGGCTTGCGCTGCGTAAGGTCCGGTCCTTGCCGCAGACCTTTCTCTACTTCGTGGCATACTTTCTCCTCGCAGATGGCCTCAACACCACGGGTTAGTAAGGTCCAATCTGCGTAGTTTCTGCTTGCTGAGTTCTCCGCTATAGGCACCCTAGTCTCGATCATTCAAAATGACTTCGTGGCATTCTCCTTCATCCAAGTTACATACCTGGGCATAGCCCAAGCTGCATGCTCAATAGCCTCCACATTCGGCTTCTGGTACATCCAAAACTACTTCAAGATCCGCACAAAACCCATGTTCCTCATCACAAACTTCTTTACCGTTCTCATTCCCTTCTGGGGAATGCTGGGTCTATGGACCAAGCGCATTGGATATCATCACCGGGTATGTCCCACTTCCAGAAGGTTTCTTTCAAAGCAAAAAAAACACTAACAAGACGCTCCTATACCTTCAGTGGGAGTTCTATCTCTACAATGCCATCTTCGGCCTGTTCCAAGCCCCATACTACGCCGTAAGCTCCCTCTACCCCTGTCCTAGGAGCCCCGAATGTTCCGTCTCTGCGGTATAATCAACGAAGAAGAAGAAGAAGCCCACTTACAGATTCATTCCTTCAGTATGCCCAAACCATGATCAGCGAACTCATGCCGCCCGGCTACGACAACATGTTTTTCGCTCTCTTCGGGATCACCAATCGCGCGGTAAGAACCACCATTCTAGTTCCCCTCCCAAAAGCCACCCACAACATATTACTAATGACTGACTCTTTCATGGCATGGCATCTAGTCCTCTATTATCGGCCCGAATGTCGTCCAGGCCATCATCAATGACACCCAGAACAACTGGATGGGATTCCCGTTTTTGTTTGCGATTTGTGCGGCAGCGATGGTGGCGATCATGTTCGTGGATGTGGAGAAGGGGAGGGAGGATGGGAGGCGATTCGTGGAGGAGCACGCTGCTGTTGCTCCGGGCTCGGACTTGGGAGGGGCAGGGCGGAAGACTGGAAAGACGGTCAAGGGACCTGGCAGTATTAATGCGGAGGTCGTGGAAGGAGCAGAAGGAAGTTCGATAAAAAGGGGAGCTGGTAATGATGGACCGCGTTGAGTAGAGTCTAGAGTATGGTACACACTGCACACTTGGTACAGATACAGACACACTACGCGTAGAGTTCATTGGTATGGAACGAACATTTGTATCCTGGAAGACCTGAGAATGAGGGATAATTTTGATAGTATCACAGGCCACAGCAGAAACCAGTATAGAAAGCTGCTTTGCATGAAGAATAGCACCAAGAAGTCCAATTAACTTGCTTATGTACTGTACAACGCAATCCGGCAGGAACGCAAGTCTAGGCTAGTGATGCATACATACCAGCAGACAAACTAGATTGATTTTACACGTATACCCCTGTTCAACATTACGCATATACGGAAAGAAGGCAAGACACGTAGGGCCACCGCAACGAGAGCTGCCGCCGAATTGCCTTAGCACTTAGATGTATGAGTACACCAACCAACCAACCACTCGACTATCAGTCACGACGTCCTTACTTTAACCCCCAGTAGGTTCTCCGCATTCCGATAGGCAAACAACTCCAGGTTCTCGCCCGCGATGAGACCACTGTCCTCAATCTCCTTAAAAAACGCCAGACCCCTCTCATTCGTCGAGAAGGGATAGTCAACGCTGTACAGCACATGCTCAATCGCGGTCGTCTTCAGGAGACACGCCAACGGCGTCAACGAGAACATGCCACTAGTCGTGACCCAGATGTTGTCCCTCCAGACCTCGCGGAAGCTCCTCTCCCTGCCCCACCTCTCAGCCACCGAAAACACGCGCTCGAGCTGGAAGGGCAGCATCTCGCCCATATGGCCAAGGACGACCTTCAACCGCGGATACCGATCGAAGACCCCACTGGCGTAGAGCCGGAGGACATGCAGGCCCGTCTCCGTGTGCCAGGCCCAGCCGTAGGCACTCAGCGCCAGCGCGACCGACTCGTCATAGTTGCCCCTGTGATACTCCATCATGGAGTCGGCGGCGAAGGTCGGATGGAGGTAGAGCGGCACGTCGAGCGCCTGTGCTTCCGCGAAGACCGGCCAGAAGCGCTCGTCGTCGTAGAATTGTCCGTTGGTGTGGTTCTCGATCAGCGCACCCACGAACCCCAGCTCGTTCACGCATCGCTCCAGCTCCGCCGCGGCGGCGGCGGGCTCGCTCATCGGCAGCATCGCGAACCCGGCGAGTCGGGTCGGGTGGTTCCGGATGGCGGCGGCCAGGTCGTCGTTCACGGCGGTGCAGAGTGCGGCGCTGATGTCGCCCGGCCCGTGCGAGAGCACTTGGAGGGAGACGTTGCCGGCGTCGAGGTCTTGGATGCGCTCGTCGCCCAGCGACTCCAGCTTCCCGCGGATGTGCGGCGGAAACGCGGCGTAGTGGGCTTTGGCTGTGGGGCTGGCTTCGCTCACTTGGCGCGAGATGTAGTGTTCTTCGAGGGTGATTAGTGGGATCATGGTTGCGATATTTGTGTTATGACTTAGTCGTGGATGGGAAAGTTGTGCGTGTAGCAACAAGTTTGGCTTGTTGAAGTGGGTTCTATCGTGGTCAAATACTACATCATGGTGCTAAGTCCGACCCGAGTAAGTCCGGGTGGTGAAGGACGGTCGCTGTGACTGGCAAACATGGGCCAGTACGGGCCAGTCTAGGTATGAAGTTTAGTTCTTAAACCGTGGCTAGTGCCATGTAGGGGGATCCTTCAGGTGAAAAGGTGCTTGGAGGCGGAGTATGAGGATCGGAGAAAGAGGTCTCTTATCGCCGTTTAGCCCCGTTTTAAGTTAACTGTCTAGACATTACCACTCGCTCAACTTGATTCAGAATAGAACAACAAAATTTGTTGAAGAGGATAATTTGACCTCACTGGCATGGATTCAAGGTCTAGTGAAGTTGTCCGGACTCTGTGCCGTCACCGGGCTAGAGTATGCGCCAGTTTGTCCTCAAGTGCTCCGCTCGATATAGTATAGAGCACCGGTCTGGTAGTAAGTTTTTCTGGTAAAGAGGGTAAAATTGCTCGGATGTCAACGATACCACCTTCGATACTGGTTGATGCAATATCTAGAGTTGTCTCGGAGAAGACTTCCAAGAAAGAAAAGACAAAGGGAAGTGTGCTGTCCAGGGCTTGAAAGACTTCAGTCTAGGTGGTGTACTACCACCAATCTTATCTGTATGTTTCAGTTTGACTGTCATCTGCAGCAATGGAACTGCTGATGAAATGATACCATCATCGAAACAACCGGCTCTTTTTGTCAGTTCAAGACAAGGTCAACAAGATAAGATCCAAGCAGTCGAAAGAAACCTCACTGCACGAACATGGTGCGGGATTCTACCGAGCGCCACAAAATGGACAAAACTGTGTGGCTTTTGCGTAAGCCGTCTCCAAAATATACTCGACCAGGCAGTTGTTGCACTTGAGCTTTATCCCTGGTTTCTTGACGTCATCCTGGACCAATACCTGGATAAGATCCGCAGCAAAGCCAGCAGTGCCCCCAAGAACAAGTCGAAAATCCTCGCTAGCTTCCAGGTCCTCGATGTGTTTCTGAGAAGTCCTCACAAGAATGTCCCGGAGACCCCTGTCCTCCTTCGTGGTACGTTTGTATGCCTCTTCGATAGCAACGGGAAAGTCGTCCATCTGCCAGCAAGCCTCCACGATAGACTTGAACTTCTCTCTTGCGCGGTCCTTAAGCTGGCGAACTTGGTATTTCTCCGCGACCTGATAGACCTTGACATTCAACAGCATGGGCGATGTGCGGCCTTGGTCACTGCCGCTGCTGTCGTATTCGAATCCGTACATAAACTGAAACATTGCTTCTATCGCGCGGGGATCGTCTTCCTTGAGGTGAATTTCGCTCTCCTTTGCTTCCTACAAGTAGTTAGAGTGTTGATTTCTGTTGCTCAGGCACATGAGAACCTACCAGCCATGTACCCTGGAAGAGACGGGAGAAATATTCGGACTGCCCACAGACGACTACCCGATGAACCTTGAAATCTTGATCAAGGGTGTGAACGGCCAGATCGGAGAACTCCGATGATGAGTAGTACCTGATTAGATCAGGCTCATCTTCTGAGTCAATTGCTGACGGGGTGACAGAGATACCTACTTCTTGATGCTGGCCAACAGATCTCCTGGCTGCTCCGGCTTAACATCGTCTTTGACATCAGCAGACTTCGGATCCTGATCGGAGGAAGCCATTCTTGTCGGCTGGTTGAAAAATGACAGAGACTCAGGTGTTCGATGACTGGGCTGTCTGCCTTCAGAATTGTTTCTGGAGGGAGATGTAGGGGTGGGTGTCGGGATAAGGACAATTTTCTAGTGCCCTGAAAGTGTTCACTAGGTGAATTATTGACTCGGCCTAACCGGCGTAACTAAATTCCTCTTTGGTAAGCCGCCTCAATAGGGTAAGTGTCGTCTCCTGTGAATATTAGGCTATACAGTTCTTCTGAAGCTATTTCGATCAGAGAAGTAGACCTTGATCTGTTGATATAAGACGTGATACTGATGGAATTACTGGCTCAAAGAGCAAAGCTCGATGCCTTGAGATTCATGGAATTGGCTGGGAATGAAGAAATCTACACGAATTCATGGTGTTTACATACTCGCAGTTCTGTCTGAAATCATGTGACCTTGCTGAACCGAGGCGTTACACGCACAACGCCGACATGATCTATCCTAGCTCTTGACTCGAGAGCTGCCCTCTGATCATGTTTCTATATCCTCGTAGAACTCATGTAACTGGTCTTTGAAACCGATGTATGATTGGATTCTTACCCTAGATAGAAGCTCTGACGGCTTACTAGAGTGACAATTGACGAGAGCTTCATACTGCCGCCTAAGAAAGTGCTTGAGCAAATCCTCAAGTATAGAAGCATGTTTCGCATACTATCAGACGGGTGGGGTTCAGGCTGGAACTGGCTGGCAAATGAGATCGATAAGATAATCGGTTTCTGTAAGGCTGCCGTTCCCCATCGATTCTTCCCCTCATTTCACTGTATTCAACACCTTCAGGTTATCCTTTCGCTCCCCTGTATTGGGAGTGCTATCTGGCTCAGTACTCCACTGGTCCTTCATATTACACTCCACCAATTTATCGCTTAGTGAGATGTCGTCTGCAGATCTGCAGAAGAGAGTCGGCCAGGTAGGCTGTCCTCCAAGCCAGCCGGAAAACAACTAACCAAGCTCCAGCTATTTGTGGTCGGCTTCCATGGCCTGGAACCTAGTGCCGAGATCAAGACCCTGATCCACGAATACGGAGTTGGAGGCATCGTCCTGTTCAAAAGAAACATCACCGACGTTGCTCAACTACGGGTACGCCTGAAATCTTGAATCATTAGTCGCAACCTGCTGGCTGATCCACAGCTCCCGCTACAAGGCTCTGACGGATGCTCTACAACGAGAAGCACAACTAGCTGGTCACACTCATCCCCTCTTCATCGGTATCGATCAAGAGAATGGATGGGTCACCAGAATCTCACCCCCAATGGCCTCTCAGCTCCCGGGGCCCATGGCTCTGGGTGCTACTAACTCAACCGATCTTGCATACAAAGTTGGAATGGCAACAGGACAGTTGCTGAAACATGTCGGCATTAATATGAACTATGGTCCTGTCTGTGACATCAACTCCGAGCCATTGAACCCCGTCATCGGCGTGCGTAGTCCCGGCGACGACCCAGAATTCGTTGGCCGTTTCGCAAGCGCTATCGCCCGGGGTCAACGCCAGCACAGTGTCATCTCTTGCGTTAAGCACTTTCCCGGGCATGGAGATACTGCCACCGACTCCCACTACGGGCTGCCTGTGATTTCCAAGACACGAAAGCAACTGGAGCAATGTGAGCTCGTGCCATTTCGACGCGCGACAGCCGAGGGGATCGAGGCTGTCATGACCGCACATATCTCGCTACCCGGCCTGGGAGATGGCAAGCTGCCGGCCACCCTCTCGCCAGATGTGCTCAGTATCCTTCGGGAAGACATGAAGTATGATGGTATGATAATTACGGATTGTCTGGAGATGGACGGAATCCGTGCGACTTATGGCACTGAAGAAGGCTCCGTCCTTGCCCTTGCGGCTGGTAGCGATAGCATCATGATCTGCCATACTTACGATGTCCAAGTTGCGTCGATTCGCCGTGTCTGCGAGGCTGTCGAAGCTGGTCGAGTCTCCATGACCAGGGTAGAAGAAGCGTACCGACGTGTAACCCAGCTGAAACAGAAATCTCTAAGATGGGAGGAAGCGCTGCACACCGATGACTCCTTTGAATCGAGGTTCCGTGAGATCGACTTGCAAAATCGCGAGCTGGCCGACGCTGCCTATGCAAAGTCAGTGACCGTCGTTCGAGATACGTCAAAGACTCTACCAGTCTCAAGGTCATGCAAGGTCGTTTTACTCTTCCCTGGCGACGAAACTCCGGCTGGCGGTGCAGTAGATGGAGAAGGGCTTGGTCGAAAGGGATCGTACAACGGATCCGTATATCTTGATGCGTTGAGAAATCACAACCCAACTGTCACCGAGATCCGCTACGGAGCAGCAGGCTTGTCCCCAGAGGAATGGCGCAAAGTCGAGACTGCTGATGCTGTGATCCTCACCACAATCAACGCGCGTGAATCGCCATTCCAGAGAAAGATGGGACAAGAGCTGCCAAATCGTGCTCGAGCCCTAGTAAGCATAGCGGCCTGCAACCCCTACGACTTCCTCGATGATCCTACCATTGGCACCTACATCACCACATACGAGCCCACCTTTGAGGCTTTCTCCGCCGCCGCAGCGACGATATTCGGCGCCGCGACGGCAACCGGCAAACTCCCAGTGGGCACCCAGGAGCCGCGATTATCCATCGAACTCTCTCCCCTCGACAAACCCGAAGATCTCAAACAAGTGCACACCGTCTGGAATACCTCCCTACCCACCTACCCTCTGCCCCTCGAAAATCTCCAGGAACTCCTCCCCCAACCCCACGGCCACCACTTCCTGGCCCGCACCGGCAACACGATAGTCGGCTTCTGCCTAACCTACTCCCGCACGACCACCGACGACGAGGAGAAATCCGCCTACCTGTCCGCGATCGCCGTCCTCCCGGCCGCCCAGTCCCACGGCATCGCGAGCACGCTCATCCAAGAAGCCATCGCCTGGTACACGACGACCCAGCAGATCACGCGCCTCGACCTCAGCAGCTCATTCCCGCGCTTCTGGCCGGGCCTCCCCGACGACCTTACACCGTCAGCCACGAAATTCTTCGAGAACCGGGGCTTCATCTTCACGACCCCGCCCCCGCGCCACGTCGACCTCTACCGAAGCATAACCGACTTCCAACTCGAGGAGAGACACACCCGCAAAGCCACAAGCCAGGGCTACACCTTCGCCGCGCTCCAACCCGCTCAATATGAGGAATGCATCGCCGGACAGCAGAAGAACTTCTCCCACAACCAGGTTCAAGAACCCCCTTTCATTTGAATCCCCTCTCCAAGTCAAAACCAACACAACCGTGACTAACCCGTACCGTATTAAATTATACACAGGCCTGGGTCCAAACCTACATCACGCTCCACCCGCAAACCCACCCGGACAGCATCATGACCGTATTCAGCCCGCAGGGCCACCAGATCGGCTGGACGCTGATGCTCGACCCGTCCTCACCTTTTCTGCAGACACAATGGGCAATGCCGCCCGTCTGCGGGGGCGCAGACTCCCGCACCGGGCTGATCGGGTGTGTGGGCGTGGACCGGGATCATCGGGGTAAGGGCGTCGGGGTGGCGATGCTGGCCCATGCGCTGGCGCACCTTCGGAGCCGCGGGGTGCAGGGGGTGATGGTCGACTGGGTGGTGCTGGAGGGGTTCTATGAGTCGGTGGGGTTCGACGTGTGGAGGGGGTATCGGCTTGGGTCGGTCCGCATATAGGATGTTGTGATTTTGGTATTGAATTCGACCTAGATAATGTCGTTGGTCATTTACTGAGCATCTGGATTGAGTGGCTCATTGGATCACAAAATGATAGAGCTCATATAGTCGGCACTTTTCCCGATGTTCCTCTTGTGGTGCGCCGAGAGGGTCAACAAGTAAGGGGTGTTTTCCGAGAGGGAGGGGGATCCGCTCCCCGCCGGAATTCTCTTCCGAGGATTTTGACTCCCTGCATCTGCCTCGTAAAAATCCGCCTTCTCTCATACAGAGCCGTACGTTATTCATGATCCATTCTCGAGAGAAAAGTGTGAATATAAAGCAAAGAAAAGATCCCATCTTGATGTTACAGTAGAAGACCCGAACAACTTCTCGAACTCACGTGAACCACCGCATACTCGGAAGTCTATAATGATATCTCGAGCATGCGGTTATGATCATAATTACCTATAAAATGCACGGATGGCTCTGGATTTTCTCTTTTACGAAGTCAGATTGACTAATCATAGATAGTCATTCATTTTTAACTAACGTATTACATGACCTCTCATAATGGTAAAAGTGATATTTCCCTCCAGATTCAGTCTGACACATTTATGCCACGTAGACTCCTGAAGTAAATATTACAACCATTGAGAGTTTCCATCTTAACAAAGGAAATGCGCTGCAGGGGATTCGATCGAGCAGGATGAATGCGAGAAGCGTCGACAGGTCTGCTGTAAATCGTTCTTTGGCAACCTAGCTGCTGGTCGCGAGGTGGTCGAGCTTGTACAAAGGCTCAAGGTGAGCACCGCGACGGCGGAAGATGTAGCGATTGATCCACCATGGGAGCACCTGGAACAATTGATAGCGCATGTGCATGGCTGTGGGCACTCCGAAGATGTAGTCGAGCTCTTCGAGAGTCCGCTGCTTGGTCTCGGGGACCCAGAAGAAGATCATAACAAACGCAGTGATATTGAGGGCTCTGAAATGTAATGAGTTAAGGGCTAGGTCCTTGAACCATGCACGGAGCGACTTACGCGTAGAATCCGAAGGCACCAGTTGGGGTCATCACTGCAAGCATGCGCGGGAAGGTGATGGAGAGGACCGAAGCCCAGCCCATATTGATTGCCACACCCCAGGACATTCCAATTTCTGAGAAGGGGTAAGCATATAATGATATGTATATATTGTTGAAGACTTACCTCTATGGGACAGTGGAAAAACTTCGGCGGAGTAGGTGAACGGAACAGGACCCTCCCCTGGAGAATAGAATGCAGCGAAGATGAAGACAAAAAGCGCAATACATGCCAGGTGAGCAGTGGACTCTTCCGGGATGTAGAAGCAGAAGCCGGCAGCCAGCAAGGTCCAGGCCATGTTTGGGAAGGTGAAGAGCAACAAAGTTCTACGACCGAAAGTGTCGATAGTGGACACAGCGGGAAAGGCGAAAAGGAAGTTCACAAGACCAAATCCCCAGGAGGCAAAAAGAGCCCCGGTAACACTGGCCCCTGCCTGTTGGAAGACAGTAGACGAATAGAAGGCGACAATGTTGATACCACACATCTGCTGTGCGATCATTACTGTGAAACAAGCGAGGGTGGCACGCCGAATCCGGGGAATAGTGAACAGTTCTCCGAAACGATTGATGTAATTACCCGTACCAGAAATGTCCTGCTCGATCTTGATCTGAGCATAAATGTAATACAAATCGCGTGCAGCCTGCAATTCGGTATTGCGCAAACGACGCAGAGACTGATATGCGTTGCGAAGCTTGCCCTTCTTGATGTACCAACGAGGGGATTCTGGACAGAAATAAACCCCGAGAAGCAAAGGTACGGCTGGGATAAAAGCAGATCCCAGCTGAAGTCTCCACGAGATATCGCCTGTGTTCTTGACAGCAAGGTTTGCCGAGCAACCAAGGAGAATACCGAAAGCTGTCCATAGCTGCCAGCACATCACAAGACCGCCACGGATAGTAGCCGGGGTGTTTTCAGCACAGAACACGGGAATAGTGGCCGCTTTGAGTCCCATACCCAGCCCCAGCAAGAGACGGGTAACGAAAAGCTGGGGCCAGGTCTGAGCACAGGCTGAACCGATCGGGGAAAGAAGACAGAAAATAGCAGAAATGAAGATGGCGCCACGGCGACCGAGATACTTGTTGGCAGGGTCAGACAGCCAGCAACCGAGAAAGGCACTGGAAATGAACGGAGCTCTATTTGAGACGTAGGTAAGCTTCTTGGCTTTTGTTTATAGTAGCAAGCGCAGAAGGGCCAAGGGCGACATACGCATTGATGAGACCAACAAGCCACTGGTTTCTAGCGGCATCGGGACCCTTCTCCGGAATCCCCAAAGCAACGGGGAAGGAGAGATTGGCACCTTGGAAGAGCCGACCAGTCAGTCATAGGCTGATAGAGAATATGTGATTTATAGCCGTTACTTACCATTACTTCCAGTTTGGTCCCACCCCCTGAATTCGTGTGTTAGTCATTTGAACTTCAATGCTGGGTGGGAAATATTTCTGTGGGATGCAATTGCTTACTGAACAGCAGCTCCAATGGAGCAGAGAACGATGCTGAAGTACAAAGCACGAGGCTGTCTCCACTTGTGTGCTGTCTCGTTGCGAACGGCAGTAATCTCCTCATCGGTCATATCAGGCACAGAAGCATACATCTGAGGGTCGCGTGCCACGAGAGCACCCTTTCTCAGATCAGGAAGAATCTCAGTCAACTGAAACTCTTCAGCAAACTGTTCAACATCACGAACCACTTGAGCGGGAGTCAAGTCGGCAAGGGGATTCTTGATCCTAGTTTCAAGTTAGCAGCTGCAGTGTGGATCGTAGTACCACAAAATATCAGGACAACTTACTTGGCAGTGACATTGTTGTTCAGATTGATGTGCTCAGCAGTGCCCTTCTCCATTGCTTCAGGCTCAGTACCAAGGCTGTACATCTCAGTCAACATGGGAATGATACAAGAAGTCAGCCGGGATACAGGAACACCTACCTCTGGTCAACCTCCGCGTCGACCGACTGAATCTGAGACCCTTCCTCCTTTGCCATAGTGTTGGTCAGGACTAACACAGATGTGCGAGTGTCTTGAGCTACAGGGCTAAGGTAGGATGAAGACAGCTGATATGTAGAATGTGGACAGATAGAAAGGAGAGACCTACTTAAGAGAGAAGAGAAGAGAAGAAGAAGAAGAAGAAGAAGAGGAAAGGAAGGAAGGTAGACAGAGGAAGGAATGGTTGGGGGGGAGGGGTGGGGGGGAATGGGAGAGATGATGAGAAGAGGAAGAAGAAAAGAAAGAAGAGGAAGAGAGGAAGAAGTAAGGAAAGGAAAGAAATGGGAAGGCGAGACAAGAAGATGGTAGAGGGACGGACAAAGAGTGCAAATGGTGAGAGGGCGGATCCGACCCCGGCGGGTTGGTTACATTCACTGCAGCTGCTAAACACCCCCTCCCCTCGCGGGGAAGAAACCACGGGGCTAACAACTTTACCACTCAGTCTAGAATTCCTGATAGTGATGCAGTGGTATGATTTACTTCCAGTGACCCTGCTAAGGGTTCTGTGTCTGATAGTGCACCTATAGAAGAAAGAGACACTGTCTTCATCTCCAATGAACCGGATATGTTGGGCAGATACAAGACTTCTCAAAGGCAAAACAAAGTATAGACAGATTCTCAGAACATTCAAGTCAAGTGATGTCGATCTGACATGAAAGATAAACCCACCCCGGCTTCCCCAGGTCTCTCGGACAATGGTTCCAGATCACGGTTACCAGTCGGAAGATACCTAGTAAGATACTTGGCAGTGTCAGCCGGGTGTCTGTGAGGGGTGACATGCTTTATCTGGCGGAGAAAGTACTGTACCAAGACTATGCTGTAGACACTCACCACAAGAAACACAAGAAACACAAAGTCCGACCCAATGACTCTGCTTTGAAACTACGTCAACGTACGGCTTGCCACCATGAGCCCTCCTCTTTGCTAAGAACTGTCGCTTTGAGAACGTACCAAAACATAGCATTCGTCTCTCCTTTTTTCTTTCTTTATGGATCAATGGTCTCGAATTCTCACTACAGTATTCTTTGCGCAAATCCTCAATCTCTATTCGCCATGCGAGGACGATGGCCGCCTCCCGTTGTGACACGAAAGACGACACTCGAGTCTTGCATACCAGAGACTGGCGGTGGACCAGATTTCTAACAAACCACACAATCGGAATCTTACCAGCAAGGTCTCTATCTTTTACTTCCAACAATCCTGATGCGAGCCTTGCACAGGAACTGGTGTGACCCCGAAAGACTAGACCACTGATTCGGTGGCTCCCCCCGCCTGAACGATTGACCCCACGGGGATACACAACTGCTTCAACACGACACGGTTACGATCAGCTAATTTTCGAGCTCAAGTCTTCCTAAGTTTATGCTCTTCCGTCGCTTCCATGACTGGCTAACCATTTGATCTACTATCAGGATTGCCGTATGCTTCGGATTTCCAGTCTCTAGATCTACCTCTTTTGACGTTCCTCGTTCGGACAACCCTCTCGTCTCTGGTTCATTGATCCAGACTCACGTGCAAACCCAAATCCGGGGCCCCATCAAAGAATCCACAATGACAGGCCACAGACTCATCGAGGCCGATCCAAGGTTATGGAAGCGAGTCTCAGAACGGTTCTTTATCCAACGAAGGCTCCGCTGGAGGCCTGCAGGGGTGCAGTACAGTGCAGGCCACGCACCTAGCCGTTTCGAAACACGAAGTGTCACTGGATCGAATAACTCTGGATCAGGACAGGGCCAGGGTCGTCTTTGAAGGCATCAAAGCCTGACCGCTGGTTGATGGCAAAGTGCTTGGGTTTTTGGCTGAGCGCGCCCCGCGTGCCTTTGATCAGGTGTGTCAGCACTGGTCGCTGTCCCGAGTGAATGCTTCAGGAAAGGTGCATTATTGTCTAGGTGGGCAAGTATGGTGGGCCAAATACCTTTCAATGTCTCAATCCAGAGATAATGACTAAGCCTGCGATGATTAACAAACAGCGAATTAAGCTTCCTCCAATGCTCCCGCCCAGGGTTATGGCGCCATGTAAGTGAAGCTTGGTTAGGCTTAGACAGGTCTTATTGGTGACATCCTCCGCATGTCTCGAAGCCACGCTGAATATATCGATCTTATGGTATTGATAGCTAGAACTAGATGACTTCAGCCTATCGATCCTACATCACGAAGGCCAGATTATTTGAAAAGATCAGGGAAGCTAGACTCTAAGAATCTTCTTGCGCGAAAAGCTGCTCAGATGCTAAATTCAGTGGCTATTGGCAGTGATCTATCTAATGGTAAATAAATATCTACAATGGTCTATCGCATCTCTTTCGACAGAGAGCAGCATAAGCAGAGTTATACTTGAGGCCGTAAGATGCTGAGAGCACCTCCAGCCAGATGAAGACTGCCAGTCACGAGGATCTGAGCACCGCCTTGTGCAGCGCCGATTCTGTTGGCCAGTTTGATCGCGCCCTCGATAGTTGCTTCACTCAAGACTGAGGCCTTGGCATCGCGTTGTCTCCACAACGAAGTATATATGGAGCACATATCTGGGGATGGGGTCTCCGGGATTTTGAGAGTTTTATCTATCATGGATGTCAGCTCTGGATCAGCCAGCGAAGTTGTTGCGGTACTCGCCTATTCTGGTGGATCCATCTTCCCTCTCTTCGTACGTGGTAAATATGACATATTCCGGCATAGCCCGCAATTCCGCAAGCGCCTTCGCCAGACACTCGACAAGGTCAACCCCGTCACGCTCCTCCGAGAAGTGACTGAAAATCAGAATGCGGCATCTGGTTCTGGAGTCAGCTTACTTTGTCTGACTACGAGAAGTGGTCCGACTTGCAGATTTCTTGCAGGCGTGTTGGTGTTTGAGACAAACCATGCAGCCGCTTGTCCGAGACTCAACGTGTTATGGGCCCCATCTATGAACCACCGAGATTCTCCATCCTCGATGATCTCAAACCTACCAGCCCACTTAAAATTTTCCACAGCACCGGCAATGTCTGACTCGTCCAATGTATGCTCTGGCGTTTTGATTTTTAGCCAGGCTCTAGTTAGCTCAAGAGCCAGAGAACAGTTCAGGCGCTGCACAGGGATACTAAGAGTCTTGTTATTGACCGGAAGCGAGTCATTCGTCGAGACAAATGTCAAAGTGGTCTGCCTTTCAGCAGCTCGAAGGCGCAGCACTTCGGCGGGATCTTCCCCCTGCGAGACTGAGAACGCAGGTGCGCCGGGCTTGAAAATCCCGGATTTATGCCAAGCAACGTTCTCAATCGTGGGGCCAAGCTGCGCAACATGATCCATACCGAGAGCGGTGATAGCTGTCACCGCCGGCTTCTGAATGACATTTGTGGCGTCATATTCTCCGCCGTGGTGCGTTTCGAATATAGCCGCATCAACATTCTCTCTGATGAATGTGTGAAACGCAAGAAGGGCGAGAAGCTGAAGATAGCGCGGCTGTCTGGCAGGAAGGACACTAGGTTCTGGACTAGGAGTCTCCAGCTTTTCCCATACTTCGAAGAAGTAACGAGTGAATAGCTCCTCCGGTATCGGCTGCTCGTTGATCTGGATCCTCTCGCGGATGCACTGCAAATCAGGCGAAGTATAAAGCCCGACCTTCTGAGGGAATCCGGTGCGCAACCCATGGGTGCGAAGGAAGGAGCGGGTGAATGCACAGGTGCTGCCTTTCCCTTTGGTACCGGCGACATGAACGATGTTGAGGCCGTTCACATCATTGTCCTAACAGCATTCATGTAAGAAGAAACCATTGTGGCGTGATGCGATGCTAGCTTTGAACAGTCCTTACCGAGTGCCCTAATTTTCGCAACCAGTCTTCCATTCCAACCAAGCTAGGCACGCCCCGCAATGCTTGGTTGTCAGTCGGGGTCGCTGCATCTTGGTTTGTTGGGACCAGCGCGGGCGCTCTTGGCCGAGCTTTTCGTCGGCGGCTCTCCAGGAGTTTCAGAGCGTTCTAGCATTGCTTAAGAAAATTTGAATCGAGAAGAGGAGTTGACTGGCCATACCTCGTAGCTGCGCTTCATATCGGCAGGGCCCCTGGAATATGACGGCTCTGGGGAGGTTAACACAAAATCAGGCTCATTTGCCCCACGCATCTTATCTCGCAGCCCATGTCGCCGACGCCGGTCTCTCGGCATCGGCATCGGCATCTCATTCCTGAGGCGTCATGACACGTGACCGGGGAGGCAATGCCATCGAAAATCGATTCTAGCTACCTTATTGCTCTCGTATCCTGCTAATCCAGATGATCAAATGATGAGCTCAAAGAGAGTGACCGTCAGGCCGACAGGTGAGGTTGAGAGATAGCCCAAGTTCCGTGCTATGTACACCTTGGAAACAAGACAACGCATGCGCCAAGTCTGTACTTGTTTGACCCATGACCATATATCTGTATTGACTCTCATCGAACGATCAACCTCTCTTCATAAAGAACTAAAGTCACTCGGGCAGCCCGGTCTCGATCTAAGCTGAAACTATGGGGGTTTTATACATCGAGACGCACTGCCAGGATCGCGGGCTTGAATGAGACACTTCCACAAACGGTTAGATTCACCCTGCAGTGGAGTATCACGTGGCGGTCTGTCAAATGCTCCAGGCTGGATTCCGAGACAACTGATTTGAACCAGATAAGGACCTCTAGCCAATACCGCTAGTGCTTTACTTTGCATACGCGCATTGCAATGCTTCTTCTATAAGGTACTCTATATGTCTTACCTACCGATTACGGAGATAACGTCCGCACAGGCTCTCCTGAGAGCAGGAGAACCGTTTGTCCCATTTTCCGAGTACACAGTCCAGGAGATCGAGAGCTTGTCGGACGACCAGGCCCATGAGTGGCTGAATCGCAAATTGCAGGAAGGAAAACCCTTCGTACTTCGTGGATTCAATACAACTAGCAGATGGGATAACTCGATCCTGAATAATGGAACCTTGGCCGCCTTGTCAGCTTCGAGAGGTATGTGGCGGTCGAGCAACTATTTCCTCGGGAAGTTCTGCAGCTTACAGGACGGTCTCGGTACTCAAGCGATACCGGTTAGGAATTGCTCTACAGGGCGGGATATAAAGCTGCGACTGCAGGAGATTTTGTACCAGGCAGACCACCCACCCCCGAGCATTGGACGAGATTTGTATGTGGCCTATTATATCCTCCAGGGCTAGCTCCATCAGCTCACAGACTCGCTTCGAAGCCTCTACGCCAAGGATCTACAATGCCCCAAAGATTGGATTCGTGCATTGGACTCTGTTTTGCCGCCGCCTCTAAGGCACTTGGGCACTCTTGATCTGTTCCGAGTACTACCAAAAGAAATTGCTCCAGAGGTTTTGATGGCATATGTCGGTACTCAAAATTCGTTGTAAGTTGGATGTCAGGACCTTGCCACGCTGCTCGATCAGTTAACACATAGGCTACGGATAGCTCTGGCTTTCATCGATGCTTCAGTGGGACAGCTGCGCTGAACCTCCTTATCGAATCCCAAGGTAATACACACAACCTCAATCATCATTATACACAGAAGTTCTTAGCTCGCAATTAGGAAGCGGGCATGGGTCCATATGTTTTGGCACGGATAAACATGCACAAACCCAGTATGATGCTTTCATGCAAGAGCTCGGGAAATCACCTCATACGGACTGGGCGAACGTCACAGTTACCCAGCTAGGTCGTGCGAATTTTCCCATTTATGTCGCTGATCAGTTTCCTGGGGACTTGGTTGTTTTTCCTCCTGCCACTGCTCACCAGGTCTGGAATGTCAATTTTCTGGTTACTAAAGTGGTGTGGAACATAATGCACAGCTCTTCACTCACCTATTTCTTCGACTATATTCAGCCCGTTTATCAACAGCTATGTCATGCAGATACCGGCCGGGTACCTTTGGTTCTTCTACATGCACTTAAAAGCGGGTCTTGCCGGCCAGAAGACGATGCCCTTCTTCTAAATCTCTTCCAGCAGATGATCGAGGATGAAGACATAGAGAATGAACCAAGTGTACATTTGAAGCTTATAGACACTCAAGGTGCGGTGGTCGAATGCAACTTTTGCGGCTTGACGATCTGGAATCGTCATTTGCACTGCGAGCAGTGTGGAGATTTTGACCTATGTCTCAAGTGCTTCGTGTCTGGACGCAGCTGTAAACACTTCAGCAATTTTATTTGGGCTGAGCTTCTTCCAAGGGACTACTGCAACAATGTCATCAGCAGTGCGCGAAGCAAGTTAGGTGCACAGCAGTCTTCAAGTCCCCCGCGTACAAAGTACGAACCCTCGAATATTTTGGTTCTTGAACACAAAATTTTTAAGAAACACTGCCTACCTTCATTACGGCCTTTCTCTTTCTCTTCTTTCTATGCAACCTTTTACAGTCACCTAGCCTCCTTCTCAATCAATTCACAACCAAGTTTGTTCTTAGCTAATGGTTGCTTTCTTCAGTCGAAAGTCTTTGGGAACATTGGCCGCAGCAGCAGCCACTGCACGAAAGCAGTCTACGGTAAACTAGCCTCCTGCAGACCTCACCAAGGCGTAATAACTGGTTGACAATCGGAATAGGAGCGACTTTGCCATCTATGCCGTGATAGTCATTCGGTCTGGAAAGGAATGACATGCTCACGATGTGATGCCTTCTTCTGTTTTCGTGGGCTCCACAGACACTTCGATATTGATTTGATGCCGTATCTCAGAGATGCAGATTCTTGGATCTGCCCGAAGTGCTCGCAGGTGTGCAACTGTCGGTGTTGCCACTTTGCCGAGCCGTATCGTAGTAAGGACAAGCCTGTGCGAGCCCGGGTGAAACCAGTCGACCAACGAGGGCGCATTACCGGTTTTGTCGATAATGTATTTGACCAGAGGAGAGGCAAAAGAGCGGCCCAGAACGCATCTCCACAGCCATATAATGCTTCACAGAGTGGGAAGCGACCGAAAACTCACTTCAACGAGGATGTCATTAGACCAGGACAGCAGAATGATGGGCCTCATGCTTCCCCCGACATTCGGACTCATGAGTCGGGGGGAATTCAACAGACCAAGACCTTGACCCAAATCAGGGACAACCCGGCAGAGCAGGCGGAGCTAGCCTCTGTGCGAATCCAAGCCCCAAAGGGACAACTTCGCATCAGTGACCTAGTGGAAGACCGTGACTCAGATCGAGCGCAACAGCTTCCGCGCGCATTGCCTTCCCACCATTCCTCTATAGCGTCTACCACACCAGAAGACAATCCATACTCTTTTACAGGCGATATCAGCATCGCCGCTCTCGAGAGAAAGCTGGACTCGCTACGCCAGTATGCAGCAGAGTTATTGGACCTATCGCTTGTTGACTCGCATGCGAAGCTCCTCGAAAAGGTCGCCGAGATGCAGAAGCAGGTGGAAGAACAGAAGCGACGAAAGGCCGAGGTGCTTTTCAGCAACCTCCACCGAGACTTTCCTGATCTGGCTAATATCGCTCGAGAGGAGGCGCGACGACGAGGGCTCTAGAGATAACGCGCAGAGTCCGTGATAGTTGTTGGAATGGACATGGCGAAAGAAGCGGACTAGACCATAGGCTGTCCGTCGAATCGATCTCACCAACAGGTCTTTTGGCCCTTTAGAGTAAAAATGCAGAGAGAGTAGTAACGGGAAGGTCACTCAAGGTATAGTTTCAGATATAGTACCGAAAATTGAGGATCGCTCGCGTAGTATCGTGATTAAATAAACACGACTGTTCTGACGTGGAAGACAGCATACATCAGGTTGACATCAGGGAAGACGAGCCAAAGGGGGAGGCGGAAGTGATCCAAGGAAGCAGGCGGAGTTCCAGCCGGCGGTGATCCTCACCTCTCTCTCTCCAGTCTCCACATTCATCCCTCCTCCTTCCCTCCCCTCAAAGGCCCTCCTCTCTTCCTTGCCTTTGCCTCTCTCTCACACACTTCTCTCTCTCCATCCTCCCATCACCCAACCAACCCCTCTCTCCTTTTTTTTTGTCCTGCTCCACACTCGCCTTTTGGTCAATAAGGCCAAGTTTTCTTGCTGGATATCTCTCTTTATTCGAGTTCGCCAACACTGAACCGGAGCCTTTCCCCAGGAATCAACCAAATTTGGTATGTTTGGATGGTTCCTCCCACTCCCCAGCCCACCCACTTATTCTTGATCAGCGTCAACACCCGTCAACCTTCCCCTCCCCTCCCCTCCCCTCTCCCTCTCCCTCCGTCTCTGTCATCATACTGCACGGCTAATACTATATGCCTGCGTTTCGCATAGCGATAAATCTCTACGAAATTCGAACGCGATCGGCCTCTCCCTCACCTCGAGCTTGCGCTAGACTTGAGCGACAACCTCGGGGCAGCCGTCCATCTCCGCGATCTATCTGTTTCGGTCATTCTATATCCCCGCCGGGGGCTGGCGGTAGCAGACACACACACCGAACTCACTACTTCGATCCTGACCGCCTCCACAACACACGACCAGCTCACCTTCGCACAATCACACGCGCGCCCTCACCCCTCACCACTTTCCCTTCTCCCACCCCCTCCTTTTCTCTTTCATCCAGTCCGGTTTGACCTTATTCTTCGACGACTCTCTCTCAATTCCTGTGTTTACTGCTATCTTTTTTGTCCCGTCATGCCCTGCTTCAAGGGTCTCGCCGTGAGTATACACACTCCGGATGGCCCGATCTCCGAATACTCGATCCAACGTCAGTCTCGAGCCTCTCGCATAGCTTGCTACATCCCGGTACCCCCTCCAAAGCTACCTGACTCCGGATCGGGTCGACCAGAACAGTCGACTTTCGCCATCTCCATCACACTCCTGAACCCCGGTCAAGATGTCCCTTATTCTGCTCCGAAACCGACACCCGACAACCCCGCACCCAGGCCTAAAGTTGTTGGAGGACTTCCCGGTCCGACCGAAGAGCGGGGGCAATACTCTAGTATGGTGATTCCCTACAAGCCGTTGACCAATTCGCCAAACGAGACGGTCGCTGCATACATCTACTTCGACGGCCGACAGAAGGAGGAGGTGGCTACGCTCCTGCGGAGAGGCGAGGAGACTTGGGTCAACTCTCGATGGGTTAGTGTCCCGGACTCCGAGGGCGGCGGTCTGGCCGAACGAGAGTTCCTGTTCCGTGAGGTCGGACTGGAGAGATGGTTGAATGGTCTAGACCTGGAAGGCAAAGATGCGGCAGCCAAGATTGAGCGACGACGACAGAAAATGGAAAAGCGTCGCCTGAAACGTGAAGAAAGCGGCGGTATGGACACGGATACAAAGTCACGGAAGGAGAGAGACATAATGCGCTACGGAGATAATTCGAAATCCCCCCTGGAAGATGTCTCTGATGACGATATGTCATTCTCTGATTCCGATGATGATCCGATCCCTGAGTCTGCAGGGCAGATCAAGGTGGCACTGTTTCGTGTTCTGGCTTCTGGTGAGGTCAAACGGGGAGAGTACTCG